GGGTCTTTGACCGTGACGGTGGTGGGTTTGTTGATTCGCTCCCCGAATTTGCCCCAGAAACTATTCAGCATAAGTTTGGCTGTGGCCTTGCGTCCGGGGTTTTTGGCAATGCTGGCAATGTCCAGTCGGATACCTTCCCGTTCCTGGTAACGAAGAATATAGTCTCGTTTTTGCTCGAGGGTCTGACACCAGCTGGGCCACCCCGCAGATTCTTGTTTCAACTTGAGCCAGGTATTCACGTAATCAGCAAAAAGACCTGTCCGACGTTGCTCAGGGGGAAAATGCCAGACTTCGTGGATCTTGATGAGCGTGTACCCCTTGTCGATGGCTTTCATGAGCTCGGGCGTGCACCAAGTTCCACGTAACATACGATCCTGGTCGGAATGGGGGCAAAAGCGGGTTCGGGTTAACATGGGTTGGGCTTGCTCTGTCTGGACACAGGCACGGCAGAGAGGAAAGGTGAGCTTTTGGCCACAGCGTACAGGCAGAACCGGGTGGAATAGGCCAGCAGGGGGAAGAATATCGACGGTGGCCAGACCAAAATAAGACGCCAAGGACTGGTCAGCGGGCTGGGTGATGATCCGCGGATGCCCGATGGGATAGGGACAGTTTTTGTTGACCCATGGGTACAAGGAGGTCACATCCACATAGCGTATTTCCTCACCTTCTCCAGTCACAGCATGCAGAGCGACGGCACCGGTGCGACCCCCAAAGAAGGCTTGACGGGGTTCCAAGGGTGCCACTAGATCAAAAGAAGTCAGAAAACGTTGGACGGCTTCATCGGTGTCCACTAATTGGTCCCATTCACACTCCCACATTTCAATGACTGTATAACCCGCTCGGAGCAAGGCCATGCGTTTGGAGAGCGTGGCTTGATAGAGTTCCTCCACGGTTCGATCCGGCGTGGCATAATGTTTGGCCTTTCTTGCAGGATAACAACGGGGACAGCCGTGATAGAGACACCCGTGGAACTCGTAGATGGTGCGAGTCACAGGATCGTAGCCATCCACGAAATGACTGTCGACGCTAGTTCGGACCGACTGTTCGCCCCCATTACGTACGTGTCGAATGCGATCAGCACTGGCCCCCTCTTTGGGAATAAGATGTTCTTGGTAATAGAGCCATTGCAGGGCCTTGAGGGATTGGTTGACTTGGGCCCCTCGCCACCCTCCGAGAGGTTCTACGGCAATGGTGTCGGGGGTCAAATGATGTTTGCGCCAATACAAGTTGCAGGCACTGGCAATGGTGATACACTTGGCCATGGGGTTGAAGCCGGCCTGCTGTTCAAATTCTTGTTGAAAGGCTTCACACCCAGCTTTCAATAGAGCCACATCGGATTTGCAATAATCAATCATTTCTTGCTTGAAATGAAAGGGCAGGTCACGACGGACTTGCTCGGCGTGCCAACGAGTCAGTTCATCTTTCTTTTTAACCATCATACCCTCAGGATCGTAAAATTCCAGATCAGGGATGCGGCCCACATACTGTTGGTGATCGGGGGTATTGAACAAATGGGGAAAGAAGCCCTTCTTTAATTCGGTCAAATTGAAGGTACTGGAAAAAGAGGCCAGCGGCATAGGCAAAAAACATAACGAGTCAATGAATTTGATAGGTCCACTCCTGAAAGACAGGACTTTGGCTCCCACGGTCAGTTGGTCCACCACCTCGCGTTGTTGCTGATAGAGTTCATGGAGAATAAACATGCCATCAAACCCTTTCAAATTGTGAAACACCACGAGTATCGTCCGCTCGCCTTCACAGTCTGGAACGTCCGTGAGATCATCCAAATCACGCAAAAATTGGAGGGCACAGTCCTCTCCATCCAACACATGGATGGTCGTTTCGGCACTGGACGAATAACATAACAAATTAGCCACAAACACGCCTTCTGCATTCTGCATGGCTTCAAAATCTGCGTAAACAAACAGGGGAGGGGGTGGCGCCACCATGCTACCTCCCCCCTCCTCTGTGGGTTCAGTCTCCTCGCGTTCCACTACGGGTTGTATGTAACATTGATGGTCCTGGATGGGCACCCATTCCTGACACGCGGGACATTTGGCGTACCCGCACCGGTGACGTTGGTTGCGGACGACCGTGTATTGGGCTTGACATTTGAGACAGGTTTTGATGGATTGACATTGGGCACTGACTTCATGATAACGTTTGCATTGATGGCCGTAAAACTTGCGGTGACACAGACTGCAATACTCGGTGGGACGGGTGCCACGCACATACTCCGGACAATCAAAGCGTCCACAGGCAGAGCAGCGTCTTCCTTGACAAGTGTGATTGGTTCGATCGTTGGTGTTGAACCCTCGTTCACAGTCCAGGCAATAATACGAACGGTTGACAAAGGCGGGAAAAGACGTGCAGCCGTCAAAATGATCGTTGGACTTGAGTAAACGAATCTGATGAGGGGCAGTGGGGCCTTTGAAAATTAAAAAGAACGGTTTCATCCGGGTCATCACCAAGAGTTGATATTGAGACCCCAACGCTTGTTGAAACTGACGAAGCTCAGGTATGCCACAGGGACCCTCCGCGACTCCCGCTTGCTGATGAAGGGCCTGGGCTTGACGTTGCTGCACAGGACGACCACGTTTGAGATTGTCCCAGTCGCGAAACCCGTCCGCGCCTTGATCTTTATGGCAATGAGCACGCATGGTGACAATGGCGCGGGCGCAGCATAGGGCATCTCTGTTTTTGATGGAAATGATGCATTGTTTTTTCTTGTTGACTCGATCCAAACATAATCGTCCCACATTACGTTGTTTATGTCGACCAGACCCTGGACCAGGCATAGAGACAAACACCACATCCACTTGGAACCCGCGATCGGGGTTGAAGGCTTCATTGCTGTTCAACTTACCGGCCAAGGTAGCTAACATCTCATCCAAACGAGCAGTGCGTTGCAAAAATTCCCCTACGGTGAAATTAGCGGTTTGATAGGCGTGGGTGAACCCATGCGCTGTAATAGCAAAGTTCACGAAATGATGAGCGGGTCGCTGCTCGCGGTCGAGTTCTGTTTCAATGGCTTGATGCAAGGCTTCCGTGAGTGCCATCCCAATATTGTCCCCAGCCACAGGATCCCTCAATTGACGCAATTGCGCATTGAATTGTGCGCGCTCCACCACATTTCGCCAGCGGCGTCGTCGACCAATAGGTTGCATGATAAATTGGAAGAGAGGGCCTCGGGCAGGAGCGGCTCCGCCCAACTGTTCCCATCGGTCATAGGCGCGGTTTAATAGAGCCTCTTCCTCCTCCTCACTAGACCAAGCGTCTTCCGCCATGACCAAAGCGGCCGAGTTTGAATATTCCCGCGCTAAACGCTGGCTTTTATAGACCCAAAAACACGTGATCAAATGACTAGGGATTGGTGGAGAGGACTCAGGTGAGAGTCAGGTGAGAGTCAAGTGAGGGGTTGATTCGACAGGAGGAGGATTGAGGGGGGTGCCCCCCATGGGTCCAGATTTTTCTAGTCTCCTCTGAGCCTGGTGCGAGATCAGTGATTGGCGGAGAAATGGCTAGATATAGGTCAACGTTCTGACCAGACGTCAGTTGCGTTCGAGACATGCCTAACCGAGATCCGGATAAAGTGAAAGAAGCGAAGAAGCGGTGGTACCTCAAGCATAGAGAGAGGATTGTGACACAGAAGCGCGAGAAGCGAGCGGCTCAGAAAAAGCTCAAACCACCCAAGCCGCCCAAACCGCCTCCGACCCAGGAACAGTTGACCAGAGCTCGTGAATTAAACCGGTTGGCCTGTCACCGATACCGATCCACACACGGAGACCAAGTACGGGCACTCAACCGCAAGTATTACCATCTTCACCGCGACAAGATTGTACAGCAGCAACGGGACCGTCGTGCCCGGGCTCGGGAGACACCCAATCCCTTCCGACAGTTGCAGGCCTTAGCCGATGAGTGTTCTGCCCGTTTACTGGAGATTGAACATGGATACGCCAGGATCGCGCCAGCCCCCCAAGCCCAGGAAAAAACGGGACCCCGTGAAAAACAAGGCGCAACAAAAAGCCTATCGGCAACGCTTGTATGCCAAACCCAACGGCATTGAGGAGGTGAAGGCCCTTCACCGTCGCCGTTACCATGAACGCATGGTCCGGTTGAAAGCCAGTGGCGAGTACGATGCCTTCAAAGCTAAAAAATCTCAAGAGGGGATGCAGCGCTACTACGGCATGAGCAAGGAACAGCGGGAGGAGGTCAAGCGTAAAAACGCCCAGTGTCAGAAAAACTGGCGGGAAAAAATGAAAGAGCGAGGGACCTACCAGGCTTATCTGCAACGGACCAATGCCCATCGACGAGAGCAAGCAGCCCGGAAAAAAAAAGCGATGGGCGAAGAAGCCTGGAAATTGTTGCAGAGCCAGCGATACCACAAGCGGATGGAATGTATTCGACGTCGAGAATGGTCCTGGTTGGACGAGGAATTAGAGCGTCCCTTTCCCCTCCCGTGGTTGCCATTGGACTTGCCCCTAATTGTACCTAATGAGGACAGTGTGCATACCCTTCGCGCAGAGGCCTTGCAGAAAATGGACCATTATTTGTAAGAACAAACAGTTTAATTAAAACATGAATTTGATTTGACGAATGTTGTCTTTTTTATGACTAAGGGGTTTTACATGCCCAATCGGAGTTTAGCTTTCATAATGCGTCTCACAATACGCTCGGTCAAGTTTTTGCTGCCGGGAAGTTGATCAATCTTGGCAATCATCTTGCGATCCGCAGCCCATTTGTCTTTCAAAGTCTTGGCTTTATCATAATCCATGTCATGGACTTTGGCAATCCTGTCCAACCGGTTGATGCCGGGATCCCCACGGGCCAAACGTTTTTTCAAATGAGTGCCAGGTCCCATGTACTGATAACCGGGCCAATGAAATTCAATGCCTGTCTTATTGAGGAGGTTCTGCACATCGAATAACTTGCCGCCCCGTTGCGACCGTCGTCGTCGCTTGGCTCGAGAACGGGATGGAGCACGGCGTTTGCGTCCCATCTTAGGGGGTTTTCCACGATTTCCAATCCAAGGCTTTTTTAGCCCAACCTGCGGCTTTTTCTTTAGCTTTTTTCTTGGCCACTTCTTTGGCTTTTTGTCTGATTTTGCGCTTGATGGCTAAGGAGGGGCTGTCCCAAGGTTTCGGGCCCACGTCCTCTGAAAAGGGCAATTCTTTCGCCAACTCCGCACTGGTCGATGGGGTGGTGAACTTGAGTTTCTTTTTAGCACTGGGTGTGAACTTTGGCTTGGGCGGGACAAGCGGTTTTCTGGGTCCACCAGTGGGGGTGCCTTGTTTTATACCCTGGGTGGCCTTGACCAATTGCGTGAACCAGGCTTGCATGGGACCCGCTTCAAAATCGTCATCGCCCGGCGTCGTGGCCCCGGCGGCAGTCACACCCCCTGCCGCGGCTCCAAAGGGTTGACGTACTTTTTTGGTCCAATGGCGTAATTGACGGCTGACGGCTTTGAGTTGAGGCCGTTTCCAAGCATCGGGGACATCACTGGTCAGGAGGACATGTTGCTTGGCCGCTAAATCCGCGGCTTTGGTCAAACGGGTATCTTCTACCAATTCTTGTTTGTACTGGTCGCGTAATTGTAAAAAAGCGGGGGCGTTGTTGACCGTGGTGCTGACCATCTCGGGTTCCATGGTGCAACTGAGGGATCTGATCTAGCGCATGCAACGTTTATAACATCGGTAGAGTTCGGGCCAGAGGGCACCCCCTGTTTGAGCCATCATGATGGCGCGTCGACGTTTGACAGAATGAGCGGGTTTAGCCATAGCGCGTAAACTCTGGGCATGAGGTTTGAGCAACGTGATGGTGTGCCGGGAACGGGGTACCGTGCCACGGAGCGTGTTCATCACTAATTCACTGACCGCATTGATCTGATCCGCATTGGCCATCCGCAACAATTCTTGTCGTTTGTGTTGATTGGCTTCTTGTAAGACACTTTTTAAGAACGGGGCTTGACGTTCCATGCGCCACCCCATGATGAATCTTGAGTTCAGGCAACGACCAAGGTCTATTTATGGTAAAAATGGCGCCACACCGACCACACAATTCGCCATGATAATGCGTTTGCATGTGATGTCGACACCGGGAACACAAGGCCGCTTCATACTGGTCATCCCAATCCAACGCAATCGTGACGGCTTTTCGTTTAGGACGTCGGTTAGTCCGGGCGTCGAAGGCGGATTCTGGGTTTGAATTTCCGGAGATACAAAGGCGAGAGAGCCATTGCCAACAGCGGGAGTTTAGCACCGCGTTGGCGTCCACGTCGCCGGCGTCGTATTCGAGGGACATAACGATGTCGGCGACCGTTGGGTCCCCGGACCATCCTCAATTAAAGTCTTGTGTCCAACCAAGCGTTTTCTTTTATAGCCTTTTCATTGTTTCAAAACCGCCCCAACCTGGCATTCGATTAAACATCCGCTGGACCCGTCGTTGGACCAGTCGTTGATTGGCTGCACTGATCTTGCCCACTTTTTTCTTCTTTTTTTTCATGAGGACGGCTGCAGCCACAGCCGCAGGGATGAGAAGTGGGAGAATACCCCCTTGTTGTTTTCGGCGTCGTTTTCGTCGTCGTGGACCACAGTGCATGATGATGATCTGTCCGAGGGAGGACACACCTTGAGTCTTTTATAGTTTTCACATGATCGAACAATTAAACGATTCCCCCGCATATTTTTTCCGTTTGCCTGAAGCCACTTCTCGTCGACGTTTTTCGCCAATGGCGATGGCACGCTTGGTTTGATGATCCCCAATGGCTTTGGTGATCCCATAACCAGCTTTCATAATGCTTATAGGCACAGCAGGCCCGAAACCCCCCACTTGACTCACACGCCGTCGTCGTTTGGCGGGTCGTCGAGTCGTGGTGCGTTTACGTTTGCGTCTAGGGGCCATTGCGTGTCCACAACGACCACACATTTTTTTGGGATGGTGGAAAAGAGACCGCTGTTTTTATACCTTTTTTCTGTTTACGCAGACCTGGCACCTCGTCCACGGGCTCGGCCACGGCCACGGCCTCGACGTGGGGGTCGTGGGGGTCGTGGGCCGGACGTGCGGGTGGACGTGCGGCGTACCGAAGGGCGTCCACCCTCTTCGTAGACGGTGGTGACTGTATTGGTATGCGTGATGTTGCGAATCCGTCGGCCTCGAGCTCGTTCTTGAGCATCTTCATTGAGCAAATCCAATCGTCGCCTTAAGCCTCGCCCTCGATCGTCATCGTCATCATCTTCATCCTCGTCATCGGACGGAGGGGACGAATCGGGAGATGGTGGGGCGGGGGGACGTCGTCGCGGTTGTTTGGCGGCCACGGTGGGGCGTCCCGTGGGGGTCATCACCGTAGAGGTAGTGGTCCTGGTACCTGCCCCAGCGCTGCGGCGAGAGGTGGAGGGACGTGAGGGAGCCATGGTGGTCGTGGCGGTGGTAGCAGGGCGTGTTCGGGTGGAGGTGACGGGTCGTGGCCGACTGGTGGTGGTGGGACGTGTTCGGGTGGACGTGGTAGGACGGGTTTGGGTGGCCGTGGTAGCGGGTGGTGCTGTGCCGGTACCCGCCACGGGCGGGAGCGTGAACGCATTCAAGGCATCGTCCACATTGACTGGGTAGGTTAAATTAAAGGCGTCAATGTCTTGATCCAATTGAGCACGATCCACGGGTCGAGACAATTCGGTCACCATGTCCGTCATACTGCTGAGATCCTGGGGCGGAGGGGGCGGTGCCGTGGGGGCGCCCACACCGGCGGGCGAGAGGGTGGGCGTGTCCATGCGGGCGGCTAAGTCAGTATGTTGTCCGCCTTCTCTTTGCCGACGAACCCTGGCGAGTTCTCGTTGCAGTTCGTTGTCGAACGGCAGGGACATCCGCACGCAAGGTGTGGACTTGGGCTTTGCCTTCTCGGGGCGTTAAATGACTCCACAAACGGTAGCGATCATCCGACGCAGGATGTACATCTAACATCAAATAGCCAAAGGGACGGGCCGTGATGCGTTTAAATAGGCGCAAGACTTGACGCCACCGTTCCGGAAAGGCTTGCAATAAAATGGTTCGGATGCCTGTTTGATCCCGGGGGTTTTTGAACGCCACAATGTAATGCGCGTTGCGATTGATAGTCTTGGAAAATTTGCCAGGCGGGAATAAATCTTGCGTCAAATACAGCACCGTGATGTTGCGATGATGCGAATCTTTGGTGAACAAATCCAACACGCGCTTGTCTTGTCCCCCTTCTTCCATCAGGTCGTCCAAGACCAGGACCCCTCCGCGCGTTCGACCAAACCATTGCGTCAAATGACGGGGGTCCGGTAACCCGCGATGAAATTGAATCCCATCCTTTTTTTGCATACGTTCGAACCGGGGTTGCCAACGATCATAGGCATACACAATCTTGCGGGGTTTGACTTGAAAGACGTTGAGGTACCGTAACCATTGTTCCACCAAGTCGGTCTTGCCACTGCCCGAGGGGCCCGCGATGATCACACTACTGGGTTGACGGATCATGATTCCCACGGTCGAGGGTGACGTCGATAATGACCTGTGGCCCCTTTAGCACCCAGGCGTTTATACCGTTTGTCTCGTCCCAATCGGTCCCCAATTTTATAGGCTTTGGCCAACACGCTCATGATGCCGCGCCCGTTTTGGCGAAAGCAGGGTCGTCGGGTGCGTCGACGTGGTCGTCGTCGTCTGGGCATGTTGTCCAATAGTCGCGGTATAAGCGGGGGGATTCACACTGAATCAGACGTTCCATGGTCTCTCTTAAATACGTTTCGCTCATACTGTCCATATACTGTTTGAGGGACACCCAGTCTTGGTCTTGCGCCAATTGTCGAGCCATGAGCCAATGATACCCATCCCACGCGTCAATGCCTTGCACGGTGTTGACCCGCTCGATGGGATGTTCCCACCAATACAAGGTTTCTTCGAGAATAAATGCATCCACTACACGCTGCACATCGCTTCGCGTAATCATGATGAACTACAATGACCACTCGTTCACGACACACTTCGTTTTATGGGTTTTATTCAACACTCACAATGATTACAAGTGATAAAGGCCTGGCGGCTCACATTCTTTTGCCCCCCGTTAGGACATCGGGCATCCACTTCATCGTGTAATTCCTGTTTAATCACCCGTTTCAACTGGTCGGCCACTTTCTGATCATTCAACACTAAATTGTCGCAACTCCATTGACTCAAAAATTCTTGATACGACTGTCCTTGCGCACGGGCTTTCAAGAAAAATAACGCATAATGGCCGCAGGTTTGGCTATCCAGGGCTTGCAGGGTCTGGTCACTGCGCGTCAGGTACTTCCATTGACTCCACCATTGATGCAACTCCGGGTTGGTGTACACATGCAGGGGTAGACCATAACTGTCAAAGATCTCGCACTGGTTCTTTTCTGTCCACAGCCCCAACCAATGCTGGCCCGGTTCTCCCGCTGGATCGGTGTTGACCATGTACGCTTGACGGATCTCTTTGGCGGGGGATCGGGGGAGTTGGTCGGCGGGGTACACCCCATGAAACACGCGCCGTAAGGTGGGATCTTCCAGGGCCAGGGTCCGCAAGACCGTATCACTGAGCGCCACAAACTCCATGACCCGTGTCTTCTGACTTCTGATTTATTTTCAGCCGTTGATGTTGTACTTTATACCTCCCAGATGATTGATCTCGTACATGTTTTCATACTCGCTCCATACCAAGATGGTGACATTGTGTCCCACAGCAGCCGAAAAATCAATCACCAGTCGCGTATTGCCCGATTGGCGGGGGTTGCGATACTCGGGGTCATCGGCTTTTTGACTGGGCACATTGTTAAACATGAACAAGGTGCAGTTCTTGCCTTGTCCCCAATCACCAGGCAGCAGCATGGGAATCTTGTTTTCATTGTAGGCACCCATGGCTTGCAGAAATCGATCGTAGCCCAGCAAATCTTCATAGGCTTGGTCTCCAGTCAGTTGCAAGGTTCTGTAAGGGTATTCTTCTCCATTCAAGGTCTGTCGTACTTGGGTGACACCAAACTTTTCAAAGGCAAAGGGGTATCTGGTGAGATCTCCATTGAAGGTGTTGGAATGCAATAACCCGACAATCACTCGATCAGGAAATCGTCCCACAAACACATTGTCTTGTTCCCACTGGGTAGTGCGACCATCAAAGGAAAAGGTGCGAATTTCGCTCCGCACGACAGGGTAGCGGGCAATCTGTTTGTTCAGCTGTCTTTCTTTCTGTAGTCTGACATAGACAGCGGCATTCAGGGTCACTTTTCTCATCAACAAAGTGACTTTGATGTCTTCATTGTTTATGGCTGGAAATTTCTTGGTGACCAAGGTGCCTTTGTTAGGACTGCCCATCAAGTAGACAGTGTTGGGGTTGAGGAAGAGTTCAAAGTCCATCTGGACATTGGGCACCAATAATTTGCCTGTCTTGAGGGGTGCCAAATGGGGACGCACGATGAAGGTGTGCCAATTTTCCTCTAGCAATTTGCTGGTCAGGGCTCTCAATTCTGTATTCCCACTCCAATTAGCATTGGTGGGGACATCTGAATTGGCAGCAGTACCTCCCATGACAGGAATCACATTGAGTTGATTGACCCATCCTTGGGGGGCTAGCTTGGTGGCTCCTTCTTCTCGGTTGTAATTCAGCAGGGTTTCTAGGTAGGATCGGTAATGGTAGGTGTTGGTCTGTTCTGTCATGAGGACCCCATTCATGCTCATGGTGATATCTCGAAAGATGGAATGACCGAAATTGTTGACGCAATAGACATGTCTGCTTTCGTTGGCATCTGAAATGAGCAGACCAGCATCCAATCCTGTATACCCAGCGGCAGGATTAGTCAGGCGCACTTTGACTTTGAAGCGGAGAGAATTGGTATCGTAATAATCGTCGGAGCCTGGAATGGAGAAGGTGATGGGTTGAATGCCCGTCAAGGCGGGTTGAAACTCCACGTCCCGCGAGGCTTCGTACCGATAATCCACATCGGGCACGTCAAAGAGTTCGAGCGACATGATGCAAACTGTCCAGGTGGTTCATCGGCGTCCTCTTTTTATACCTTTTCGCATTCTGTACCAATCATGGATGGGATGCGCGGCAGGAAAGGGGCGGTGAGGAAAATCGATTTGGATGCGTTTTTTGCCCCCTCTCTGCTTCCTGGCTTTGGCTTGATTGGCCCACAACACTTTTCGGAGATCCCCTCCTTTCATGCGGCGCAGGGCCTGTTTGACTCTCCAGGGTGCGGGGTTGATCCGGTCCTGAGCAGTGGGAAACCCCAAAGGATTCGTATTGCGTCTGCGGGAAAAAATCGTCCCCCCTTTCATCCTGCGCTGTAGGTATCGATCCAATTGACGGGAGGACGTGTGCATCAACGGATATCGCGCTGTGGTTGACTTGCCAAAGATCGTGCCCCCCACTTGATACGGTGAAATAAACCGTCCACGGGCCCGTTGCCGTCGAATCCGATTTTGCGATTTGAGAAAACCTCCTACACGTACCATTTTTTACAGTCCAAAGATATCCCGTACACGTTGCGTGGCTCTTTTATAGGTATTTTGAGCAGTCCGTTTGACCTTGTGTTTGCCCGCCGTCCAAGCCATGGCGGGGGCTTTGCGTTTCAATCCACGGCTGAGTTGAGTACTTCGATCCGCCCAGGTGGCTGCTGCACTCTTGCCCCGTTGAATATCTTGTAGTCCCGCTTGCGCTTGTTGTACGATCAGGGGTCCGGCCAGTTTGATCAAGTCTTCGGCCAAGCCTTTGCCCTTTTGCTTGGTGAGCACGGGCGTGTGGTACCGCGTTAAACTGCCTCCGCGCATGGTTCACGTCGTGATTTGGACCTTCCAGAGACGTGGGGTGGCTTTTTATAGTTGTTTGAGTCCAATGGTCACCAGGGTTTTGCCTGGGGGTAAAGGGGCCAGGGGTCCACTGGTACTGGCAATCTCCACTTCCAAGATCTCGAGTTGATTTCCACGTAATTTGATCCATTGGTGGTGCAAGGGTTCGGCCGTACTTTCCCCATCGCCGGTTCTCAACAATTGCACTTCCCGTAACAGAGGATACTTGCCACTGCCCACCACAGTGGATTCCACCAGGTCTGAGTACACCATGACGGTACGTTTGCGGGTCCCCACGATTTTTTCAAACGAGGCATCCAGGTTGTTCAACTGCCATTCCACTAACAAGGACAAATGCAAAAACTTCACACCATCATGGGTCCGAACTTGCATGGGATCATGTTCAATACTGCTGACCATATTGCCAAACAGCAAGGTGGGATTGACGGCCTTGTATTGCACACCTTCCCAGTTGTAGGGCGTGCGATCGGAGTTTCCTTTGGGTGGAGTATCCGAATCATAGGTGGCCGTCGGCAGAGTATATTGCATATTGGGCCCTAGGTAATACTTTGTCGCGTTGTTGACTGTTTTTTCCTCTACCAACCCAAACTTGAGCGCAATGTCCAGGTTGATGAAAAAATCAGTGATGGCGGTCTTGTTCTCTTTAATCAAATCCATTAGGGGAAGGGCCTTAATCACCAAGGCACCTTTTTTCCAGGTCAGTCGGGGCATGGCGTTTTGTTTGGCACTGACAATAGGTTTTTGGTCAGGTTCGAGGATCAGCCACCGCATTTGTTCCGCCATCACATTGTGCATCATTTTGTTGTGCATTTCTTGCATCACGCGTTTCCAAAACTGACTCCCCGTCGCCACGATTTGACTCGCATTCATGATCTCTTCCAATTCCAACACGCAGTCCACGGTTTTCACCTCGGCGAATCGGTACATCCCCGTCACCCACTTGCGGATCACATAGCTCATTTTGAATTTGATCACTTTGGTATGAGGATCCGCGGCGATGATGGCATTGCTTTGGCCTTGATCCGGGACGGTCAGGGACAACAGAGACGCGTGCCAGCCTTCGCCTGGTAAAACCATTCGTTCGGGCAGACGGACCTTGAAACTGTTGTTGGCATTGTTGGGAAACTCGTCGGTGGGATCGCTGATGAGTGTCAGACGTTTCATCTCACTCATGATGATGAAAAGGAGGCACGTCCCCAAGGGTGCAGGGTCCTTTTTATAGCCACGTCGCCACTTTCTGTTTACTGCGAGGGACACGTCCCACCACTGAATTAAAGGTCGATTGTTTGGGATGAAAACACACTTGCTGGGCAATGTTGGGAAAAGCCCGGGCCAGTTCCATCAGGGTCATACAAGTCTTGGGTTTAGGGGGTTTCTTCTTACGCATGGGTGGATGACGTCCGGCGCGTCGGCGTTGTTTCTTGGGTGGGGACCGTAGAGCCCCTCGTTTCTTGGCATACTCCTCAGCTCGATGGTAAGCGTTGGCGTAGGCCCATTGCTGCTTGGTAGGGCTGGCCAACTTGTCCCACCACGGTTGGGTTTGTCGTTGTTCGGCGGCTTTCTTCTGGATAAATCTCAGGACGTCCGCGTCACTCGAGGGAGAGGGCGTGTAACTAGCCCGCGGTCGACTGGAATCCGCCTGGACTTCATCGAGAAAC